TGGCATCAAACTGGCAAGTCTTAAGAATACCAGCAAAGCATGAAGGTGAAAGAAGAACAAGAAAGAGGAAGGCAAGGACGAGAACTTGAGAACGAAGTGAGGTATCCATTCCGAGACAGAAACAATAAGCTTCAAGGAAATTTTGGCTCCGGCTGTAACTTAGAACTGCCCCATGCATCATGCATGTGGGGATATTTATAGGGAAAACTTTCTCTTGTACAGTTCCAATACATGTCGGAATAGGAAATTAGCACTGGCCCAGGCAGCTTAGGATAAGAATTCCTAGTGTAATCAGTAGACCTGGTACTATTCCACTTAGGATTTCTAATTTTTTTAAATCTTTTATTAGGAGAAAATAAAAAGATCAAAAAAGTCGAATAAATTTATTTAACTTACATGTTATTCTTTATAATAACTCACTTTTAATTTAAATCATTTAACAGCCAATAAACTAGAGCCACTTAATATTTCCAATTCCCAACTTAATCCAGAAAGAATGATTAACCCAAACCATGGAAAGTTCATGAGGGCGAAGTTTGTTGTTCAGTGTCTTGTTTACTATTCGCAGATGGATTGAAGCACGATTGCCAAATTTTGGGCTAAATTTGCTGGCTACTTGGCATTTTATTTATGTGCCGCAAGGATGAACTAATACTTATCCTCGAGTGAGGCCCATAAATCTAAAACCTGATGCATGATGGGCTAAAAACATTAAACTTCCTAAACCTGGCCTATTGTACCTGCATCTTTTCAATTCATGTTTTCTATGACAACGAATCAAAGTTTAAGGCTTAATAGTACTGTCGGCTATCGTGTGATTTGATACTAGTTCATTAAATTCCATGTGTATGGCGACCATAACCCTTTTGCAGCCCAAACAATTAAGACGGAAACTAAAGTTCAGTTTGTGACTCGTGCCCCAACAGTTAAGTAAACACAAAAGCTAACTTAACCAACCACAAAGACAAAGTAGCACATAATCCATGCTGTATCCGCGTATGATTTTGGAAAAGTGAGCGAGACAGCTTACTACCCATCTGATAATGTTTAGCCTTTAAGCATCTGACCCTTTGCCTTAAATTCTCTCTGACTCACCGTAGCTAAACCAGTTTACGCTAGCAGTCCCCTTAATTTGTTGCATTAAGACGTTGGGGGGACAGCAGCCGGCTCAAGGAGATGGGAAGTGGCAAGCAACCGCATGAAAAGAAGCATCTGATTGAGGTAATCACCAACTATTGGGCATTGAGTGTTTATCAAAAGTGGACGACTACTTTTCAGTACTCGCCCCCACAAGCTAGTGAACAAGCAAAGGTTAGAATTCAAACACTAATTTCCCACATTCTTTGGCTGACAAAAACGAGTTTCAACTACCAAATCATGACCTTCCATTCCAGAAGTAAAAATAGGAAAAATAAAATCGATCCCTAATATGCTCAGAAGATAAATAATACACGTAGAACCTTAATAGAACAAGCTAAAAAAAAAAGAAGAGAAAATTAGAGGATAAATAAAACTCAGTACATAGACGATGGAGTAAAACAAAGACAAGAATTGCCTAAAATATTTGATAGCAGCAAGGGGGAATTTAAATTAGCAATAAGCAATCTTTCTCCTGTCAAAAACACATAAAGGAGAAGTTCCATTCTTGAAACCCTAAATTGGCAAATAAAAAAGAGCTGGCCAGCGCAGCAGGGTCTCACTACTGCTTTGGCTGTTGTTGCTGCTGCTGCTCCTCCTCGCGCTTCGGTGCTTCTTTGATCTCATCAGCTCCATCATCCTAATTAATAAGGAAAAAACAATTAAATTAGTATCACATTTTTAGATATAAAAAATCATAAACATAAAAAGAAGGATTATTTGAAAGGTGAAAATTATTTACCTGCATGTCAGACGTCCAAAGAGTGAGATTGTCACGGAGGAGTTGCATGATGAGGGTGCTGTCCTTGTATGACTCCTCGCCTAGAGTATCCAACTCGGCAATTGCTTCATCAA